CTTTAGAAAACTGCATATCACGGAAACATACCTCATGCCCCAATGTACCCATGTTTAAGCGACCATATACTGCTGCCACCCCAAATGTTTTCAGCGCTTGTTGCTCGAATTCGGACACATCTTCTGTCGGTGGTCCACCGCCTGTTGCCTTTGTATGCTCTACGACCCTTCGTGCTCTGCTCCGCAGCTGGTTTTTACATCCGGTTAATGTCTGTAAATGAGGTATATATGCACATACACACATGTGTACAATCATAATTAAAAGAAATATATGTATCTAGATACATGAAATACAAATTATATAAGAACATATTTATGCATTTATGTGAGCAGGTTTGCTCCGTTCCGTCGTAAATATACAAATTTCAAAAAAAACTTACTTTCCACTTCGCTACCGTGCGGGTGGGCCCACGCATTGCATTTAAGTTCTCCGCTAGCTGCATCCACAGGGATTCTATCAATTTCGGAGAACTTGGCTTGTTTTTTGCCGTTTGTAGCTCCGGATGGTCCTTGCAAAATTGCACATAACACTGAAGCTGCCCCTGCGTGGTCGGATTTTCGGTCGGTGGTATTTTGGATGTCTGGAATATGTTAAAAGGTTTAAAACAACTAAATTTTAACTATTTTACATAAATACTCACTTTTCTGGTATTTCGCTGCTTGTCATGACTCAGGAATCTGGACTACATCTCCAACACGTACTCATTTACTAAGGACTTATAACAGTCAACGCGACAATTGGTTGTTAGGAGATCATGGTTATCCACTGGAACCATGGCTTCTAACTCCAGTCGCAGAGCCGTCAAATGCAAAGGAGATTAAATACAACACCATACATGCAAAGGCTCGAAATTGCATTGAAAGAGCTTTTGGTGTTTTAAAGTCCCGCTTTAGGTGCTTGGCAAAACATAGAGTTTTGCATTATTCTCACGAGCGAGCCGGAAATATTATTTATGCTTGTGCAATTCTGCACAATATCCTTCTCAAACACGGCGTCGCTGCGGACTTGGGGTTCGAAGTGCTAAACGAACTTGAGTAAGTTAATGAATACGACGAAGTTGCAGAAAATAGCAATTCAAGAGAAGGAGCAATAGTAAGGGCAAGAAACATATCTTCACTATAAAAGCACGACGCACTTGAAGGTAAAACCGGGTAAGTTATCTATTGATGTGTTTATACCAGTTTTCTAACCGATGTGAGAAATAAAAAAGCGATTTGAAAACAAATTCGAGTCAATACACTTTCGAATTTCTGAGCGTATTGAAAGTTGGTTTATGCTTCCGTTTTGAATCACAACGAACTGGGTCAAAGCGCTTTATGTGTTGGTATAAACAAGGTATATATTCTATTTACGATATTTCCAGTAAAGTTAAAATATTTTCTATTAAATTTTGACTTAATGTCCAACCAGCTCTATACTGCTGTTCCTGCTGCATCGTACCACCATATTGCCTGGTGATCTAACAACCCAGTTTTTTGCTGTTTCGTCTGCACTGTGCCACCGCTGCGTTTTCTATCCATAGTAAATATTCAGCCTTATCATGACTTTCATTTCCCCCGAACCGGTTCACTTTTTACTTTTGGTTTCCATGTATTTACTATGGGTGGAATAAAAATTTTCGGGAGAAGTTTTTTTCGGGCGAAACTCAGGATAAGGCAGATTTTTTTATAGTATTTAATTCATTAGTCTACATAAATAAGTATTCGTAAAGGCTATTACTTACATTACATCAACTGTAGAGTTTAAAGATTAAAATTGAATTTGCATTTATTTATTGCCACTACATTCCCACGCACTATAAATTGAATGACAAGCGCATATAATAAACATATAAAACTCAAAAATATGCACATGACAATAAATCATTTTGATATAAAAAAAATTATTTACTTGGCAAATTTTCATACATATGAATATACTTACATATAACTAGTTATAATCTATTTAATTTCAATACAAAAAAAAAAAAACATTTAGAATTAATAACAAAAAATGGCTATTCTAGCTAGATCACAAAACATAACATACATACTTAACTACACAAGCCTTGATACGATGATTTTTAGTTAATATTCAGAGTATGTTGCATGCATAATTAAACAACACCATAAAAATCTCAATTCATATTGGTATGTATAATTATTGTTATACAGTGAAGCCTAATGAAACAGTAGCCAGATATTTGCAACTTCAAATTGATACGATTATTTGAATTTCAATTATTATTTTTGAATATAGTTCATTCACTGACATAGGCCACGTAAATCAAAGCTGCAAAATTTTGTGCGAAATTTGTGAAAATTCAACAAATTCCAAAATATTGTTATCAAAACTTCAAACTTTTTAATATTTTTAAATTTTTTGAATTTTCTGATAAAACTTTAAAATATAAACATCTGAGTACTGTTTCTAATAAATAATTTTGTGGGGTACTCTTTTTCTTAAGAAATATTGTGAATATTAACAAAAAATCACTGCATCGAGATTTACGCTGTAAGTGTAATTATTATTTGACTATTCCAATTCATATT